GATGCCATGATCTTAGTTTTTTGAATGTTGAGTTTTAAGCTAGGTTTTTCACTCTCCTTTCACCTTCATTCAGAAGCTCTTTAGTTCCTCTTCACTTTCTGCCATTAGAGTGGTATCATCTGCTTATCTGAGGCTGTTGATGTTTCTCCTGGCAATCTTGATTCCAGCTTGTGATTCATTCAGCCTAGCATTTCACATGATGGTGGATTCCAACGTCCTCCTATCAATGGTTGTTCAGCAGATAGTTGTGATTTTGATATTCTTGCAGGAGAAGATGCGTGCATATTTTTCTACTCCACCATCTTTTCTGCTTGATGAAGACTGAGGAAAGCTGATCGTATAATTCAGTCCTAGTCTGAGGGCCTGAGATCAGGTGAGTCAATGGACTAAGTCTCTCAGCCCAAGGGCAGAAGATGGGGTGAGACATCCCAGCTCCTCAATGAGGCAGGAAAATGGGGGCAAATTCCTTCTTTCTCTGCATTTTGTCTGTTTGGACTTTCAAGGGATTGGATGTGTCCAACCACACTGGAGAGGACAATCTACAGATTCTACCAACTGAAACGCTAATCCCATCTGGAAATGCCATACAGGCACACCCAGATGCAATGTTTAATCTGGGCACCTCACAGCCCTCTCAAACTGACAAATAAAATTAACCATCACATGCACTAAAGTACTTCTCAAGGCACTGCCAACAGAGGAACCTAATTCATCTTCTTCTTTGTTCCAAAGTAATCTTCCAAACTTATTTGTAAGCAGAATTTTCAAAATACATTTGAATATGTGCTCTAGACTGTAAGAGGAAAAGGCTGGAATAATGCTTGTAAATAGATCTTTTATTGGCTATAGTTGAAAGATTTAAGTAGAAGGTTGAGGGAAACACTGTGATAGGCTGTATTCTTGTTCCCAAATATTTGCATCTCTTGTGCCTGACAGTGAGTGTACCCCTTGGGAGGAAAAGGCACCTCCACTGGACTTGGTCATTTGACTTGCTTGGATCCATGGCATGCAAACAGACCAGGCAAATATGTCGGAGCAGAGTCTTAAAGAACCACTGAGTGTTTCCTTTAACTTTCTTGCTTTTCCTCTGCCAACAGAAAGCATGAGCTTCTCCTTCAATGTAGACAGTGAGACAGGAAGACTCAAAGTGGATCTGCAGCTGCCAAGAGGCAATAAAAGCAAGAATTGACTGTCCTAAGTCACTGAGGTTGGGGTTTTGTGTTAACACAGCATAAGGAAGGAGTTTCAGGGCTATAACCTCAAGGGAGCTTTGAGTGAACTGTGAATACTCTTAAGTGTCACACATCATTATTCATAAGTGTCCATGCCATGTGCTAAAAGAATCATTCTTTTAGGTTTAAATTCTTTTTTAATATTTTATCTTTGTTTTTTGTCAGTTTGATTACTATGTCTCTTGATGTGTTCCTCCTTGGGTTTATCCTGCCTGAGAGTCTCTGTGCTTCCTGAACTTGACTATTTTCTTTCCCAAGTTTGGGAAGTTTTCAGCTATTATCTCTTTAAATATTTTTCAGTTTCCTTTCTCTCTTTCTTCTCCTTCTGGGACCCCTATAATACAAATGTTGGTAAATTTAATGTTGTCCCAGAGGTCTCTTAGGCTGTCTTTTTTTTTTTTCATTCATTTTCTATATTTTGTTCTGTGGCAATGATTTCCACCATTCTGTCCTCCAGGTCATTTGTCTGTCCTTCTGCCTCAGTTATCCTGCTATTGATACCTTCTAGCATACTATTCATCTCTGGTTGCTCTTTAGTTCTTCTAGGTCTTTGGCAAACATTTCTTGCATCTTCTCCATTGTTTTCGTGAGATCCTGGATCATCTGCACTATCATTATTCTGAATTCTTCAGTTGTTTTTCTGGGGTTTTATGTTATGCCTTCATCTGGGGCATAATCTTCTGCTTTTTCATCCTGATTAACTTTCTGTAATGTGGTATTTTTTCTAGCTGCTGTGGGATCGTGGTTCTTCTTGCTTCTTCTGTCTGCCCTCTGATTTGTCATTGTTCAGTCGCTCAGTTGTGTCTGACTCTTTGCAGCCCAACAGATCTCAGCACACCAGCCTTCTCTGTCCTTCACCATCTCCCAAAGCTTGCTCAAACTCATGTCCATCGAGTCAGTGATGCCATCCAACCATCTTATCCTCTATTGACCTCTTATCCTCCTGCCTCCAATCTTTCCCAGCATCAGGGTCTTTTCCAATGAGTCAGGTCTTTTCCAATGAGTCGGCTCTTTGCATCAGGTGGCCAAAGTATTGGAGCTTCAGCTTCCACATCAGTCCTTCCAATAAATATTTAGGGTTGATTTCCTTTACAGTTGACTGGTTTGATCTCCTTGCTATCCAAAAGACTCTCAAGAGTCTTCTCCAGCACCACAGTTTGAAGGCATCAATTCTTTTTCATTCAGCCTTTTTTATTGTCCAGCTCTCACATCCATACATGACTACTGGAAAAACCATAGCTTTGCCTATATGGATCTTTGTAGGCAAAGTAATGTCTCTGCCCTCTGACGGAGGAGGCTAAGAGGCTTGTGTAAGCTTCCTAATGGGAGGGACTGGTGGTGGGAAAAAACTGGATCTTGCTCTGGTGGGCAAGGTCTTGTTCAGTAAAGCTTTAATCCAATTATCTGCTGATGGGTGGGGTTACACTCCCTCCCTGGTAGTGGTTTGGCCTGAGGTGACCCAGCCCTGGGGTCTGCAGGCTCTTTGGTAGGGCTAGTGGCTACCTTCACGAGGGCTTACACCAAGGGGACCTTCAAGGACTGCTGCTGCCAGTGCCCCCATCCCTGTGGTATGCCCCTGCCGACCCACATCTCCACAGGAGACCCTCCAACACTAGTAGGTAGCTTTGGTTCAGTCTCCTATGGGGTCACTGCTCTTTTCCTCTGGGTCTTGGTGCATGCAAGATTTTGTTGTGCCCTCCAAGGCTGGAGTCTGTGTTTTCCCCAGGCCTGTGGAAGTCCTGTAATCAAATCCTACTGGCCTTCAAGTTCAGTCCCTTGGTTAGATCCCCACGCTGTGAAGGCTGACATGGGATTCAGGACCTTCACAACAGTGGGAGGAGTTCTTTGGCATTATTGTTCTCCAGTTTATGGGTCATCCACCCAGCGGGTATAGGATTTGATTTTATCATGATCGCACCCTTCCTATCATCTGGCTGTGGCTTCGTGTTTGTCTTTGGATGTGGGATATCTTTTTTTGCTGGGTTCCAGCATTCTCCTGTAGATGGCTGTTCAATAGCTAGCTGTGATTTTGGTGATCCTGCAGGAGATGAGTGCATATCCTTCTACTCTGCCATTTTGAACAAGAAGAAATAAGGCTTTATTTTTTGTTTTAATACTTTGTTGTTTAGTCACTAAGTCATGTCCAACTCTTTTGCAACCCCATGGACTGTAGCCCACCAGGCTCCTCTGTCCATGGGATTTCCCAGGCAAGAATGGGTTGTCATTTTCTTCCCCAGGGGATCTCCCCAACTTTTAACACCATTTAATAAGTGAACGAATAAATTTAAGTATAAAATTGAAATTTCTCCATCTGTAGAGAAAAACTTTGCAATAACTGGTTACAATAACATGATGAAAGACGCATCATTTATTATCTGAATCACAAAGTATGGTATTTCAGATCTACATATCTGCAAATACCCAAATATTTAGCTCCATTTAATGACTTTCTTAGAATGGTGAAGGATTCAAAACAAATTTAAATCTTCTCTTTAAAGGATTATTTTAAACTCATTTATTTTAACTATCACTAAGCCAATCCAAAATACATAAAAAATGTTTGGGTTCCTAAATCAACCAGATTTCACTTTTGTATTTTGTACACTGAACACCAAAGTTGGCATCTTTATAGGTGTTGTTTTCCCTATGTCTAAGTTAACAAATATGCCAAGGAATAGTAGTAGAGAAAATAAAAGGAATACCAATATAACTGTGTGTACACAGAAGTCTTATATTTAGCAGTTTTGGTAGTTTATTAAAAGATTGTTTCATATTCTTTTATCATTGTCTCTTAGGATAGTTTGACACTATTCAAAAGATTGTTGTGAATTGTCAATAAATCAGTGGCTATCTCATCAAGCATGTGTTTCAGAAGATATACAGAATTAGCAGAAGAAGAAGCACCAAATAATCAGATTACTTTTTAGGCCATCAGAAAGCACAGATGACACATTTAAACTATTTGACATTCACGTATTGCCAGGCCTTGGTGAACCCCACAAACTTCCACTTCTGTTCAAGAAGAATGTTACCACTCCTAAGTTGAAAGCTAACATGGATCCCTCAAAGCATCTATTTCTATTTGTCTATGTATATTCACCTTTCCAAATGCATTCTTCTTATGGGTCTATAAAACATTTAACAACTAAAACATCTTGTTTTTGACCTTTAGGAAAAATAGTAAAACAATTAATTAAAAAAACATTTGAGGCCAATATTACAAAAGCAAATTATAAATAGTTGAACCCATATAGCATACTTTGACCTTTTTTATCAGATACTTCATGTCAAAACTGACTTTTGGTAAGAACACTTATATCTTCTGCCTTAATTCCTTAGCTCATGTGAGCACATTTAGATGTGCACTGACATGCTCCAAAGTAACGCCACAATCTATCTGCAGCATGCTAGGGTATTCACAGCTCAAGCCTGCTGGAAGATGTAATAAATTCATAGTATGCTAAAGGTACCAGAGAAATGCTTATGGCTCACAGGATAAGATCAGATATAGAGAAATATGTTTAATACAAGTTTCTGTTTTGTATTTAAAGCCAGTGCTATTTTTAGAACAACAAAAAAGGTAATCAAGTAAATCCTCTCGGTATAATCATTCAGCAGTTTCTTCATAAAAGAGCATATCATAGATGTCTAAGTATAGTCATTTACCTTTGGACTTGCTTCCTTCTCATTCTACCTCCAAAATTTCATTTTTCATGTTCAGACATGACTGTGAAAAAAACCCTGTGCCTCAGTAACAAATGAACATACCTTTCATGCATGTAATCAACTCCCAGCAACAGCTGGATAAACCATTCTATTATCTGACTCTCTGGAAAGGTTTTTCCAACTTCTTTATATTCTTGAATTTTACAGTCCAGATCTCGACCCTGAAACAAAACAGTATATAGATAGATAGATAGATAGATTTTACGTTTCTTTCAGTTATTAATACTATCACTGCAAGACCTCTCAACTTGGCCAAAAGCTGCCAGCCTCTGGAGCCCTCTTCTCAACTAGGCATCCCCTTTGGTCAAAAAAGACTTGAACAAATGCTAACATATTTCTAACAGCTCAAAGTCACATTCCTAAGATGACCCTAGTCCCCCTTAATGTGCCTGTTTGAGAAAACCCAAGGCTGCCAAAAAAACATGTTCCAGCCACACCTTAAGATGGAGCCCCTGTCCCCTACTCTGCTGGGGAGGGCAGAAGCCCAACTTCAATAAGTGCCAGCTAGCAAAATCAGATGGTTCAGAGGAACTGGCTGCCTTCCCACTTTCTGTCATATTTCAGCTCCCTGACTGCTCGGACCCCTGCCTGCATTGCCTCCTCGGCCTCCACTCCATTGGTGTTCAGTTGCTACAGCATGGCCAACTCTTTGTGACCCTATGGACTGCAGCATATCAGACTTCCCTGTCCTTCACTATCTCTCAGAGTTTGCTCAAATTCATGCCCATTGAGTAGGTGATGCCA